AGGTTCAAGAAAAAATCCGCAAACGCGAATGCTTCCATTGCACAGAACCCCATATCCCAGGACACAAATGCAAAGTTCCTATGATTGTGATGCTTGATTCTCCTACCACTGAGGATGAATCTCCTGAATTCATGACTGCCAATCGGAGGAAGAGCTCCCTCCCGATCCCCCATGCCACATGCTCGAGCTCTTTCAGCTCCCTGGACTTAGCATGGGTCAACCAATGCGATTGCACGGCTCCATCAACTCCCTTCCAGTTACGGTCTTAATCGATTTCAGAGCTGCTTGCAATTTGCTCCATACAAATATTGCACACCACCTAGGCCTGCCAATTGAACATATTGCCCCAGTCCATTTCACCACTGCCTCTCACACTCGAGTTGCTACTTTCTCCGAGTTCATGATGTGGTTGTAAAAATGCAAGGCTACACCCTTCACGGTTCATTCCTCCTTTTGAACATACCTGGCTATGAACTTATCTTGGGGTCTGAGTGGTTGGAGTCTCTCGGTTTTATAGGGTGGCACTTCAAACATAAAACTATGATATTCAATGTCCAGGGCCATACCCACACTCTTCAAGGATTAGTCAAAGCCACTCCACCTTTTCGCACCTATCACTCATTGCAACCCACTTACCCACCCCACCATCCCAATTCCCAACCAACCCCACCTACAGCACCCTCTATCTCTCCTCCACCAAATACCCCATCAGCCATTCTTTCCCTCCTAACACAATACCACCATCTTTTTGCCATACCTTCGGGCCTCCCACCCCAACGCCACATAGACCATAAAATTCCAATCTTCCCCAACACTACACCTACTTTGGTCCGTCCCTATCGATACCCACACTCCCACAAAGCTGAAATTGAAAAACAAGTGCAGGAACTCCTACAATCGGGAGTAATTCGAAATAGCAATAGTCCATTTTCCTCCCCCGTTCTCCTTGTCAAAAAGAAAGATGACTCATGGCGACTTTGTATTGACTATCGAGCTTTGAATGCAGCAACCATCAAGGACCGTTTCCCAATACCAATTGTGGATGAGTTACTCGACGAATTACATGGGGCAGCTATATTTTCTAAGCTTGACCTTCGGTCAGGTTACCACCAGATCCGAATGTGTGCTGAGGATATCCCAAAAACCGCATTTCGAACACACGACGGCCATTTCGAATTCTTGGTGATGCCATTCGGCTTATCCAATGCTCCATCAACTTTTCAAGCTTTGATGAATTCCATTTTTCGGCCATACTTACGTAAGTTTGTCTTGGTTTTTTTTTATGATATCCTTATCTATAGTCCCTCATTGGCTACTCACCTCTCCCATTTGGAGAATGTTTTTCAAGTTTTGTCTACTCACAGCTTGAGGTTAAAACTTAGCAAATGTTCCTTCGGGCAAGCTAAGATTGACTATTTGGGTCACTTTATCTCAGGCCAAGGTGTAGCCGTGGACAATTCTAAGGTTCATGCCATCACAAAATGGTCTCAACCGCAGTCTCTCAAAGGCCTTCGTGGATTCTTGGGTCTCACGGGTTAATATCGGAAGTTCGTACGTCATTATGGCTTGATTGCAAAGCCCTTGACTGAGATGTTAAAACAAGTCAATTTCTCTTGGACACCAGACTCCATTGCTGCATTCAACAAGCTCAAGCAAGCACTCGTAACCACACCCGTGCTTGCTCTCCCCGATTTCACCAAACAGTTAATAGTGGAAACCGATGCATCTAGTATGGGTATAGGTGCGGTCTTATGCTAAGAAGATCATCCCATAGCTTACCTCAGTAAGGCATTGTCTGGTCGGAATCTCGATCTCTCTACGTATGACAAGGAAATGTTTGCCATCGTCTTTGCTGTACAACATTGGCGCCATTATCTCTTGGGTCAACAATTTGGGATTGTCACTGATCACAAACCCATCAAATTCTTCCTTGAGCAACGTATCACAACTCCACAACAACACAAATGGCTTGTTAAGCTGCTTGGTTATAATTACACAGTGGACTACAGACTGGGTTCCCAAAACGGAGCTCCGGATGCACTATCTCGCCAACATGAGCTGCTGCCTCTTATGGGGTTGTCCTCTCCAGTGTTTGATTGTATACCAGAACTGCAACAATCATATGCTACAGACCCTCAGGTTCAAACACTTTGGCCTTCACTACTCCAAACACCAAACAGTAGTGTGCAGGGCTTCACACTTGTCAATGGTGTCCTTCATTACAAACAGAGAATTTTTGTTCCCCTTACATCCCAATGGAGGCCAAAGATCCTTGACGAATTCCACTTCTCGCTGCAAGGTGGCCACTCCGGCTTTCTCCGTACTTACAACCGAGTCTCTCGTAACTTTCTTTGGCCAGGCATTCGTAAGGATGTAAAACTTTTGTAGCCACATGCTCGGAATGCCAACGTCAGAATCATGAGACTATTCACCCACCAAGTCTCCTGCAACCGCTCCCCATTCCCGCCGACATATGGCAGGATATCGCTCTTGACTTCGTCGAAGGCTTACCGTCTTCCAATGGCTACACAGTCATTTTGGTCGTTGTAGACCGCCTCACCAAATATGGCCATTTCATCCCACTGAAGCACCCATACACGGTTGCAACAGTTGCTGACACATTCATCAAGGAAATCTTTCGTCTCCATGGCATGCCAAAATCAATTGTATCGGATCATGACCCAACTTTTCTAAGTCACTTTTGGCAAGAGTTTTTCAGCAAACAGGGCACCAAACTGTGTTGTAGCTCCGTATACCACCCGCAATTTGATGGCCAATCAGAAGTCCTAAACCGCACACTCGAGCATTTCCTCGATGTTTTTCCGCAGATCATCCTCACAAGTGGGTTACTCTTCTTCCATGGGCTGAGTGGTGGTACAACACCACTTTTCAATATGCCATAAAAATGTCCCCCTTTCAAGCGCTATATGGACTACCACCCCCAACCATTACCTCCTACATCCCTGGAACTATGGTCGTTCACTCGGTTGATGTGGCGTTGCAGGACCGTGACAAGCTACTCCGTCTCTTGCGTGCTAATTTGCAACTGGCATAGAATCGAATGAAACAAGTTTACGATAAAAGACGAACGGAACGCCAATTCAATGTGGGTGATTGGGTCTATCTCAAGCTCCAGCCATATCGCCAGCAATCTGTGGCCACTTGGCATTTCAACAAACTTGCACCCAAGTTTTATGGCCCGTTCCAGGTGAAAGCTTGTATAGGTCAAGTGGCTTACCATTTGCATTTTCCTCCTGACTCAAAAATACACCCAGTCTTCCATGTCTCTCTGCTCAAGAAGAAGATCGGCGCTGCCATTCTCCTACTCCAATCCTGCCACCTATTGACTCTACAGGTCACTTGCATTGGCAACCTGAGAAGGTTTTAGACAGAGGGATGTTCAAGAAGAAGAACGTTGCAGTCACCAAATGGCTCATACAGTGGTCCGGCCTTCCTGCAGAAGATGCCACATGGGGAGGACGCCGACGAGATCATCGCCCGCTATCCCGCCTTTCGAACCTGAGGACAGGTTCCTTCTCAAGAAAGGGGGGAGTTGTTAGGACCTTACTGTTGGGCCTTACCCCTCTTCTTCAGTCCCAGGCCTTTCGTTAATATTTACTTTGTCTTGGCTTCAAGCCCAAGCGTCGTAGCTAGGGTTTCCCTTTATTGGCTTGTTATATATATATGTTAAACTCAGCCCGAGGGGTTATGAATGAAAAAGGAACCCTTCTCTTCCCTATCTTCGACTTCTCTCTTTCTCTCCCTTTTAAATTCCTGCATTGTTCTTTTATTTCTATCAATATTAGCTTCTGAGCCGATTGGGGCGTACCAACAACCCGCAGCGAAATTAAGCGCCCGTCAATCAAGAACTCTACAATCCACAGTGAATCACAAGTCCCTTGAGATACCATCATAACCAACTTAGAAGCTCATAGAAAGATCGAGATCAATTCAGAAAATATGCAGTACAAAAGAAAGAAAGAGAGAGAGAGAGATTTCTGTAATACAACTAATAATCGCAAAGCTTACTCTGTAAGCTACCTCTTGTACTAATTGCCACCTGGCATTCTTGTTAACTATAGCTATTAGATCTTCAATTAGGAATGTATTAAAGATACGATTTGGTGATTAATTATATCTTTAATGTCTTCAACATTTTCATGCCACGAGCAGTGGAGCTTGGTATAGTCAGAGTCAACTGTTCAAGCCTCCAGGATGTTGAACTGCGCGTGGAAACATTTTTATGTCTTGCCTATTAAATGAGGACAATGTCATCTTTTTTGAAGAAAAAAATCCATGTGTTGTCTTTTGAATTTTTGAAATTATTTTTTGCTCCATTGTAATCATGTGCTTAATTTGCTAATTTTTGTTTATGTATATGTATATTCGTGATTATGTATATTTAGTGTTATGTTTTTTTTTCGGTGTAAGAGGAGAGCATAAATCACCACTGCTTTTAGTGGTGGGAAGTGTATTATTTCAAATGTGGACAAGATATACATAATCAATGCTTTATCCTCATTCTTTTAGTTTTAGTTTTTTTTTTATTTGGCTAAATTGCTCTTGAGTAATGCTACAATTACTATCTATTTGTATCATCATTTGCACCATCTCTTTAATAAATATTAGAAGTAGAGTCCACTAAGTATGTTAGTCTCATCTTTATTAAAGAAATGGTACAAATAAATAGTAAAAATAAAATTTTTAATTACACTTGCTATTATTGAGTGGTCAAAAGACCTTCCAAGGGAAAAGGATCCTCGCCGGATCCTTTTCCTGGAGATTCCAGGAATCGTATAATCATATCCGTTCATCGTACATAGTACGATCATAAATTATTTTAAATTTAAAATTTAAAATTAAATATAAATAGTACCTAACGAAAACTGATCGCACGATGTACAATAAACATACATGATTACACGATTCCCAGGATCACCAGAAAAAGAATCTGGCGAGGATCCTTTTCCCCTTCCAAGGACTTCCAAGGACACTTACTATTTTCGTTCCTTGATTAATACACAGATTCAACACTGATATGAGAATAATCAACCGAGTCTTACAACTATTTTTTATTTTACATGAAAAGCAAGACTCAAACAACCCACCCAAAAAACACAAAAAAGAAAAAAGAAAAAGGAAAAGGAAAAAAAAAAACTCTTTTTCCAACTTTTTACCTATTGCTCTTGCATAGAGTGGGCTGTGTAGTACTAGTCTCCACTGCATACAAGGGCATTGCACATTTTCTGGGAAGATCTTCTGCACTCTCTCTAGCTGAAAGAAGTTGCGATTTTGTGTTTTTGTATTGAAAACAATTAGAGGACTTAAACAGTTAAACCGGCACGTTGCCTATTTCCGACTTAAGGCAGGTACTTTCTTCAGAAATCTCCGATCGCAATACCTTACGCCATTGCACCAAGAAACGACTGGAGGTAAAAAAAAATACATATCATAACAAGGGAAGGCAAGTTTCATCTATAAGATGAAGGCTAATAAAGCGCAGATAATATCAAAATCCAGTAAAATATGCAGCCGACAACATAACAAGGAAGAATGAAAATTAAATAGCATAAACCGAGGTACCAACTCTTAACAGACACCTAGTTCGGATACTTGAGAGAATATTTTTTTACCAATAAAATACGACAACAAAAATGTTTAACTCACACAGAGACTTGATTGGAGCTCTCATTAGCACTCAAAAATTGTTGAAATTAAAACTCCACAACTAACCAACTTAGATGCATTATATTAATTTGCAGTGATTTTCTAGGCTAACATCAGCATGGACGATAGTTGGAATTTTTCTATATAATTCTCTACTTTTTCATCTGTTTCCAACAAATACCAATATGTAAAAGGTTACGATGATTATAAACTACAAAAAAGAGTTTCGTTCATAGAGTGAGATGGATGATACCTTGGCTTTCAATGGAGTACCCGGCTTAGGTGCAGCTCTACTCCCAAAGCTAAACTTTGGCTTCTTATCAGGCTTCAATATCTGGAAAGAGCACATAAGAGACTCATCGACACTCATCATTGCCCCAGCATTGTCAAACTCACCACAGTAATTAGGTGCTGAAAATATTGTCACAAGTTGCCTATTCGCAAAGAACTCATATCCATCTTCGACAACCTGCAAATATAAACAAGGCATCAGTGGAAGGAACTCTCGGTTGTATGGTATTGGAAAATTCTCAAATTAAAAAAATTTCAGACCTGGTGAGCTCGACAAATTAAATCTAGATCAAGCTTCTGAAGAAACTCTGTTACCCTATCAGCACCGAAGGTAAAGGAAACTCCCCTATCATTTGGTCCCCAACCTCGAATGTCTTTGCTAGGATCAGACCACAGGAGATCACATAGCAAACCACTATCTGGGACATCAGTAGGTCGCTTTAAGGTCTTGATCTGATTTAAATTGTTTAACTCGGGAGATAGCCCTCCATGCATGCAGAGTATTTTTTCATCAATGAGAGCTGCCACGGGAAGGCAGTTGAAACAATCTGTAAACACTTTCCAGAGTTTGACATTGAATCTTCGTTTACACTCATCATAAAAGCCATATATTCGGTTTATTGAAGCACATTCATGGTTACCCCTCAGAAGGAAAAAATTCTCAGGATACTTAATTTTATATGCAAGGAGAAGGCATATTGTTTCTAGGCTTTGCTTCCCGCGATCAACATAATCCCCCAAGAACAGATAGTTGGACTGAGAGGGTAATCCACCATACTCAAAAAGCCTCAGAAGATCTGCATACTGACCATGAATATCACCTGTGTGATGTAAAGAAACCCATATGAAATCCGATTACGTTTCTCTTTTTTCTTAAGGGAAAAATGTAAACATGCATATAAATGAATAGATTATGGCTGAAACTATCAAGAATTCATACCTTTCAATGCTTAGTCTTTGCAACATCTCAGAAATATAACAATTTTATGCTAGAAGAATTCAAAAACTACACCGCAGTGTGGATACAGGCATGGAATGTCAAAATTTCAATGCGGATACATATAACATCGACCTAGAGCTCTGCTTTTAGAGAGAAGGATATCTCGACTTCCAACTAGAGAACATAAAGAACTGAAGTTATAGGGTTTTGGTTAATAGGGATAACTGGCCCACAAGAAATCATTTTGACATTATCTCTCAGGCAGAAACTTGGTTTTTCAAAGTGGAACAGCAAGAAGTATTTCTAGCAGATGAATTTCGGATACGAACAACTTTACAAAAGTAAATGAAACAAAAACTACTTCTGACACCAGAAGAAATAAGTTGTCATTATCTATTGTCCTACACAACATTTTCTCTCTACTGTGCATGTGTTACAAAGGAGAAATGAAAACACTCAACTGCGTGATAATGGAAGCGTGAGACCCCAAAATGCCACACGTATCAGGCTGGGATAATGGTTCATATCCTAACTATGCATCACTCTATGTAACTGATCACAGCTCACAAATTTTTACTCATAAACTAAAATGGCCCGTCATCAAACCATAACAATGGATTCAAGAATGAATTTCTCAAAAGCAGTGGATCCAACTTGATCACTTGTTTATTTATAGCACTCTGTCTTATAAGACATATCCCAAGTAAGGATATATACTGATGTTCCTAACCATTGAACTTTATGACATATTTTACCGGTCTTGATTTCTTGTCAGTCACTCAAAGATGGAAACACAGATTATTCATCTCCATATTTGATCGCAACCCAGTTCAAGCGAATCAAACTTATGATGCGGACCTATAAATCCAAACTCAAAATTGATCGAAGTACAAGTAAACTAAGATAATTAATATATTAAATTTTAAACTAAAATAAGATAAAACAGAGTATGGGGGTTGAGGTAAAAGTACCACAAATCTTGATAGGAGCATCAAGCTCCAAAAGATTAGGCTGCCTCAGAAAAATATCCTTGGAGACAAGACACAGCTGCCTCATCTCACTCTCCTGAAGCTGCACTTGCTTCCCTGGTCTGCCTCTCACTTCAAGAAGCCTATTGATTAAACTATCAAGAACCCCACGTTCCATCTCCAAGTATTTTTCTTGAATTCACCCAGAAAAAAAAATACTCAATCTTTCAAGAACCAAGAACAAATTAAAGCCAGAGAGGAAAGCATAAGAATAAGAATAAAGGACACTGCTTTGGCCTTCTGGACCTCCAAAGACTTTCATTCCATGGGGGAAAAAAACAAAACAAAAAAAAAAAGCAAGAGGGGCTGTAAAGGAAGGAGCTTTAAATCAAATGGATAGGGAGGGGGTTTGGGTTCTCTCTCGAACTTTAGAAAAACGAATGGCGCAGGCTGAAATTAAAAGCAAAGAATATGTTCTTTGAAATCTTTATTTGTTTCTTTGGAGAAGAAAGTGGAGGTATCAGGGGATGAATGAGAGGAGGGTAAAGTGGGGTTGTGAGTGGGGGGGGGGGGGGGGGGGGGAAGGAAGTATGGAGTCTGGACCCCCAGTAAACCAGAACGATGATGCATAAGACCACCAATTTTGAGAAAACTTTGAAACTCGGTCGGTAAGCACTTAAGCGGTCGCACACCAATTTCACACTCGCACGCTCCACGCATACGGCGGGCGGCAAGTTCATCATCATCATCTCCCTCATATACATATACATATACATATACATACCTATACAGATACATATATATATACATAGACATATATAAAGCTAATGGAAAGGTTAATAGTGATTTTGGTGTCATCATGCCTCAACAAAATATTTGGACAAAAATGCCCTCAGGACAAAAAAACTTCAAAGGCATCCTAAAATAACGCATCAAATAAGCCATGGGCATTTTCATCGTTTTAACAGTAATTTTTTTTATAATTAATTTTTTTGTGCTTTTTTTTTATTTTTTTAATTATTGTCTCACAATAGGCTAGCAATAATGTGATTAAATTAGTTGTTAATTTTTTTTTTTTTAACAAACAATATTATCTATACTAAGGGAGAGGGGATAGGCTTAACCTCACAATGGGCAAGTAATAATGTGATTAAATTAGTTGTCAAATGATTATTAATTTTATATTATCTACACTAAGGGGAGGGGTGTGCTTAATCTCACAATGGGTTCGCAATAATGTGATTCAATCAGTTGTTCATTCAATATTATTTTCTCTAACACATTCAAAACAACTAAGAATCCAAAACCCTTTTGGTCGGTCGGCCATCAGCAAATTAAGAAGAGATTTCATTGTTTTTGTTATTGGCTAAAAGTCTGGGGGTAGTTTTTACAACTAGTTAGGGTTTCTTTCCTTTTTAAAATTTATTTTTATTTCCCAAATTTTATGTTTTTTCAGTTTTAGTTTTTATCATTAGTATTAGTTAAAATTCACATAAGCACCCATGTCATTTAATGAATAAATAAAAATCCTTAGATGTTATAAAATCTAAGACCATCTCCAAAGGAGATGTCAAATTTTGATCATAAAATTTAAATTTTGACGGATTATTTGGCACTTTGACATCCTTTAAGGTTTTGTTCGCCAAACGATATGTCAAATTAAATTATTATTTTATTATTTTATAAAATAAATTATTAAACTAATTAAAATTTAATAAAGGATATTTAAAGTTTAATCAGTAATCTGTTCACCTTCCTTGATTGAAAAGAAGAAAAAAGTAGAATAATTACATCAATCAACTCAATATTAATTATAATAAATGATTAAACTAATTAAAAATTAATAAAATAGGGATTAGTTGTAACGATGTGAATTGTTTATTTTCAAGTTGCATCTCATAGATCATCCTTGCAAACTATTAGCCAAATAGAAAATATTTAAGACTTCGTATTGGGTTCAAAAAATTAACGAATACTTTGTTAATAAGAAACAATGAAATTTTATCTTGATAATTAAATAGGCAAATGGTTTCGAATTGAATTGAATTTTTACAAGAATCATCTATGAATCGGGACTTACAAAATAGAAGGTTCAGATCATTGAAGTTCGATGTGGAGTGGGCCCCACACCTAATCCCTATTTTTTTTTTTTAAATGGGGATCCCTTTGCATAAAGAGCTTGATATATATACATATTATTATCTTTTGTAAAGAGTTTTTTTATTTCTTAATCTTTTAAGAATGTTCGAGCTTGTGACCTCTCCCAAAGAAGAGAAATATTCTTAATACATCAGGTTTGAGCATAATCATATTGTCCAAAATGAACGTATGCTTCTTATGCGTGCTAGGGTTTGAACTTCCTTTCTTGGACCATAGATTAATTTAGAATAATATTGCTTGTCTCAACAAACAAAAAAAAATGAGCTGGTGCAACTTTTAATATTGTGGGTGGTTTTTTTGTACAAAAAGAAATCAATTTTACAAGCTCCTAAATTTAGAGAATAAGAAAGAAACTCCTAAGAGCTTTTAGCATTAATCGTTACTTTTAATAACTTTTTAAATTAAAAACTTATTTCTATTCGTTCATATTCATTATGACTTCCCAAATCTGAGAATATGGTTGTAATAGAAATTTTTAGGCTCTTTTAATAGGTTTTAGCATTTTTAATGGCTTTCCAAATTAGTGAATAATTGACACATCCCGACCGAGATTGAGGTATGCTGGCCATAACATGAGGGTGACGTAGCCATGTGCACAGTGCGGAAGCGATAAGGATAAGAAATATACGAATAAATAAAAACCGAAAGGTACTAATGTGCACTAATAAGCAGGAAAGTGCTAGGAGTGAGATACAAGAGTAAATACTCCTAATCAGAGCATAGAAAATCTAGGTGCAGTCCAGTAGGACAAGTACTAGTTATATAGTACCAGAAGATATCCTACGAATATTTTATTCTATCAGAACCATCGAGATCCTCAATGCCACCAACAGCAATTCTACCTAAAACCTGGAGGGGCGCAAAACAGAAAACGTGAGTGGGCAAAAACAAGGGTTTTAAGAACACATTTAACTTTCAAGTGCTCTAACCCCTCGCCGTAAAACATGTATACTTTTTCCTAGAAATAGAATATAAACGTATACATATATCTATATATATCAATTCAAATCATGCTACACATATTCATAATCATAAGTATGTCATGCCAAGATATAAACAAGATAAGTAACTCATGTGAAAGTAAATTCATGGAAAATAACACATTAGCCGGAATCCCTGCAGAAGTCTGTACGGTTGCATTCATAGCTCATTAGTCAATCTAACCAGAGTCACTGCAAATGACCTATACGGCACTACACTGCACACAAGTTGGAACCACTGAAAAGGTCTGTACAACAAGACTGGGTGTAATATAATTATGCTCAATACTACGCTCTCATGATAGCTGTGCGATAAATCGCTAGTCATCTACGAGTTGGAATCACCTATAATGGTCTGTATTGGATCCAATGTGAGCATAGGGTGCAGGAGGTGACATTATATACAAGCATGTGTCATATCTCTGACTAATCACGAACATCGAGGTGCAGGTTTATGAGCTCTATACTTCTCAATTAATCATAATCATTATTCACATTTACAATTCATAAACTCACTTGGACTTACCTGAGTGTCCACATCACCACAATTATATAGTATGCATCATATACTAATTCATATATTGAACATAAATTTATATGCATGGCATTTCAAGGCATACTTTCATTTAAACGCATTTTCTGGGAAAATATCAAGTATATAAGTATATACTGAAAACCAAAAGCCCACTCACTGGTATGTCAAAGAGTCGTAGCCCCCGAGTCGCCCTTGACCGCGCTCGTCCTCGGGATAAGTCTCCCCTATATGCGAAACAACTATAAAAACGTTAATTTAAAGCACATAACGAATACTAGCTAATAACTTCTCATACATTGCTCAAATGGGATGTTTGAATATACCAATGTGATCTACACAACCTCAACATCCCCATATTTTTAGAAAATTTTTCCGACGTCCCACATGCCACCACGCTCCGACAAGGGCACGGCAACACACGCGGCCACACGCAGGGACCCTATTGGAATCCCTTAACCCCGTTAGGAATATTCCGTTAAAAAGTAACAGAAACTGTTAATTCTACCTTACGGCGTCAAAATATTCCGTCAACTTTGAAGGAATATTCTATCTTCCTCTCCGGTTAGCCTTGCCGGTCGCCGTCGCCATTCACCGAAAACTGGAAAATCACGAAAACCTTCATATCTCGTCCTAAAACCGATGGAACTCGTCGAAAAATCCTTCGATGTTCCGACTAAACCTGCAACTCCCTATTCCTGAGCTTCCCGACGTCCAAATCACTTCATTTTTCTTCTCCAAGCCTCGTGAAGACGATCTAAAGCTCCCTATAACTTCAAAACTCTCAGAAAACTACACATTTACGTGTGCATGAACAGTACCTCAAATTGGAGGTTATGGTTTCTCGGGTTTTTCAAGGTTTCACGTCCAAATAATAGTATCACTGGGTTCATGGGCTCGTAAGGAACTTGAAAATGGTCTTCACAACCATGATCCGTGAAGAGATAGGTTGGTTGAGTTTCGTTCGTACGTACGTACAGTACGAAAATGGAGAAGAACCGAGAGGGAAGAGAGAGAAAGAGAGGGTCAACGGGAGAGAGGGAGAGAGAGAGAGAGGGAAAGTGTAAATGTGTGGTCCTAATCCTCCTACAACCAACCAAACAAAACAATTAGAACCTTAAGTCCTTTAGTTCTAATTGGTTCCAAAATATTTGGGACTTAACGAATTTGACCAAATCCAAAATTTAAATCACATAACACCATAAACGCTCAAGGGCATATTTGACATTTCAGGTCTAAAAATGTAATATTTCGGGACGGGCTATGACAATAATGGTTCATATTCATTAATCTCTCTTATAATAGCTTTAAAGTAGAGAACATAATTTGAGATGCTCTAGAAAATGCAAACTTGTCTAAAAACTGATAATAGAAGTTAATCATAGTGGGAACTAATAAAATGGGAACTATAGTACTTCAAATGAGGAGGACTTTACAATGAGAAAAATGCCAATTTGAGATGAAAAACATATTTACATCATATTTGACATTTCAGACAAATGCAAAATAAAAATTCTACTCCAAAAGACCTATTTCAACCCTTAAGAGTAAAACTCAAATTTTTGGTTCTAAACCTATCCCAACTTGCTCCAACTCTTGGGCCAAATATGAGTTTTAATCCAAAACTCATTTTTGGGGCAAATTTATCCCAAGATTCTCCCTGAGTTAGTGGGCTAGCCTACCATATATTTGTATTTCTTTTTAGTTTTATATTTTACAAATTCATTAAATTCAACGACTAAGATCTAATATGATCAAATCTAAAGGTAGTAATTTTTTAATATTTATCGAAATCTAAATATTTTTAGGTTAAAATGTTCATAAAATTAAAAGAAAAGTTACTTTAAGAACAAAATTATCCTAAATTCGTTCTTTAATAATATTAGGTTAAAAATTTAACCCATAAGGGTTGGAGAAAAAAATTGTTTCTAGGTTAGAACCTAAATTTTCTGGATTAAAAATTTCAGGGTTTAATCCAAAGGTTGGAAATGGTATAAGACAGATGTAAATTTCTGATCTTATTCAATTT